AACCTGTACTTCTCAACGACAGAAGCGGTTCTGTTCAACCAGTGCGTTCGTGGTGGAGTAGGAAACAAGCTATGACGGAACTCATGTCGCACTCCTGTCATCAGTGTTTGATCTTCGGCAATGCTTCAACATTGTTACGGATGAGCGATAATCTAACTGTGCAAACAATAGGGTGTATTAGCCACATAACAGGTTATCCCGTTGCGGACTGGCTTTAATGAGAAAATAAGGCTCTCATCCGACACCAATGGCTTCCTGAGCGAGTGCTTTTCTCCAGGCTGTATACTACTGAGCGAAGAAGATCCATCCATTTTGATACGTCATGGCTGGCGAGGACAACGAGAGTTATTGCAAGGCAGATGTGGCTTACGGCTTCGATCGGTTTGTGGCTTAGTAGAAGTTCTTGAGTCAGAGCGTGAAAAACATAGCTCTTTTCTTTTCTTCTTTTAACTCGAAGAAGGCGACTAGGGTGGGCATGATTCGCTTATAAGCTACTACACGCTATGCCCTCTCAACAGCCCACGTAAACATAATTAGAATTTGCTGAGGGGAGCTTTCGAGACAAGCCGTTCACGAGCGGTTGATAAAGTGAAATAGCGCGGACGAGAGCATCGAATTGACGCGGCATAAAGGACCGAGCTCAAGAAGTCTGTCGATCAGGTACTCTGTGATTGAAATTGGCAATGTGTACCTCTGAAGTGAAGAAGTGAAACAATAAAATTTGTTGATTCCCTCTTTATTATCACTATGAACAGCATTGTCTTCCATAGAACATTTGAAGCGCGAGAATAAACTTTAATTTGCCATATTATCGTTTACCTAGTTAACTGGAAAGCTTTAAAGGCATGCCCCAGGATTAGATTGGTGTGGTTCTTGCACACGAATGCGAATGTATTGGTGCGAAGTGGGCCGGCAGTAAAGAAAAAAGGAAAAACGCTCAGGTTGAGGGCTCACTCACCTTCCTAATCGGCTGTGCTAAGGGAATGAGAGACTAAGCGCGGAGAGGAGAGTATGAGGCGAGAGAGCGCAACAGATGAGAGAGCGCCAGACAACAGCCTGATAAAAGAAAAAATCTGCAGCTTCAGCAGCTTACTTTGCAAGGCCCAAGCGCTCTTGTCGGTTGGTTTCCGTGCACGGAACGCCACATTTGTGATTGTCCTCTAGGGGTCTACAGACCGAAGGGAAGCGTTCACACGACTTCTGCCTGTATTGTGTCTTTAAGGAGAAAATCAGCCATCTCATATCGCGCTCCGAGTTGGTTATGTTCATAAGAAGATCATGCTTCACAATACGAACTATTGGGTGAACCAGAAATTCACCCTTGAAGTACTCGAAGTTCTGTTGGCCAAAATAAGCAACGAAAGTTTTCTTATAAATACAATTTTACAATGAAATTGAGCAGGATCTTCCCTGCTGCTTGTTGTTTCACTTCAGAAAGTACGTATCTATCTCGTATCCAAAGGAACGATTATTAGTTGTTTCTTGTAGGAAATGCGAATGTGTTTCTCAAAAAAAAACCGCTGAAAGGGAAAGGAAACGCTGGAAAGCGTTAACAGATGATCCTACTCAGAACCACTAATACAGGAGGATTAGTGTCAAGTGCGAATCAATTCTTCCCTATATTGTTGGCACGCCGTTGCACATTTTCTAA